AAATGTAATACCTGAAACCATGAAACTCCTAGAAGAAAGCATAGGGGGAAACCTCCTTGACATTGGTCTTGGTGATGATTTTTTGAACTTGCCACCAAAAGCACAGACAAGAAAAGCAAAAATAAGTAAGTGGGACCATATCAAACTAAAAGGCTTCTGCACAGTAAAGGGAAAAAAATCAACAAAATGAAAAGACAACATATGGAATAAGAGAAAATATTTGTAAAATATATATGCAATAAGGAGTTATCCAAAACATATAAGGAAATCATACAACTCAATAGTAAAAGCCAAATAAACCTGATTTAAAAATGGACAAAAGACTTGAATGGACATTTTTCCCAAGAAGATGTACAAATGGCCAACGGGTATATGAAAATATGCTCAACATCACTAATCATCAGTGAAATGAAAATCAAAACCTCAGTGAGATATTACCTCACACCTATTAGGATGGCTGTTATCAAAGTCAAAAGATAACAAGTGTTGGTGAGGATGTGGAGAAAAGGGATCTATGCACAGTTAGTGGTGATGTAAATTGGTACAGTCATTATGGAAAATAGTGTGAAGGTTCCTCAAAAAAAATTAAAAACAGAACTAACATATGATCCAGCAATCCCACTTCTGGGTATATATATCCACAGGAGATAAAATTACTATCTTGAAGAGGTAGCTGCACTCCTATATTCATTGCAGCATTATTTACAATGGCCAAGATATGGAAACAACCTAAGCATCTGTCAAGAGATTAATGGATAAAGAAAATGTGAGAGATACGTGTACACACACACACACACACACACACACACAATAAATATTATTTAGCCTTAAAGAAGGAAATCCTGTCATTTGAAACAATTTGGATGAACCTTAAGGACATTGCGTTAAGTGAAATAAGCCAGACACAGAAAGACAAATCCCACATGTTCTCACTTACATGGGACATCATTAAAAGAAGGTAGAACTCCCAGTAATAGAGAGTAGAATGGTGGTTTCCAGGGGCTGGGGGCTGGGAAAAAGCGGAGATATTGGTCAAAGGGTACAGACCTTCAGTTACAAAATGAATAAGTTCTGGGTACCTAAAGTATAGAATGGTGATTATGATTAATAATAATGTATTGTACACTTGAAATTTGCTGAGAGTAGATCTCAAGTGTTCTCACCACACACACAAAAAAGTAACTATGTGAGGTGATGCATATGTTAAATAGCCTGGTTGCGGTAGTCATTTCATAATGTATATATATTTAAAAATTCATGTTCCATACCCTAAATATATATAATTTTTATTTTTCAATCATACCTCAATAATGCTGGAAAAAAACTCCCAAAGTGTGTCTTAATCCTGCATCGACCACTGCGTGTGTGTGTGTGTGTGTGTGTGTGTGGTCTTTGACAAGTTACTTGAGCCTCGATCATCAGTAAAATGGGAATTAAATGTTGTACCTGTGTAATGTGACTGTTACCTGAACTAACACAAACAAGGCACTCTCTGGGGTCTGGCACAAGCCAACCACTCAACGATGGCAGGGAACGGTGGCAGAGGGAGCAGCAGGAGTTTCAGTGACACCCACTCACCACTTGGCAGATCTTTGTACTTTCAAGCCATTGTCTGGTCTTCACACAGCCTCAGCCGGGCTCTGTCTTTATCGGGAGCCTGTCTAGTAAGGAGTAGCAGGACTGCGACACTTCTGAGCAGAGTGTGTCCTGAGGTCTGCTGACTGACAGAAAATGGAGTGCACTTCTTTCCTACCTGGATAGCAAAGCAATGCATGCCTGTGTGGGAAATTTGGGAATCTCAGAGGAGTACAGGAAGGAAATGAGGTGTCTCTGATCCTGCCAGAGATAACCACTACTACCAGCAGCTCACCACACTTCCAATCGTTTTTCTATGAAGTTGTTAAACAAAATTCCAGACACACTATCCTTGCTTTTCTTTGTCCTTTTTTTCACTTAACACTCCATTATAGGTACTTTCCCCACCCTTAAGAACGCTTCATAATCACCACTTTCGCTGCTGAAGCACATTCCATCTTATGCATAGACTGTTATACTTAGCTCTTTCCTTACTATCGGACTACTTTTCAATGGAATACATAATAGTCAGATGAACATATTTGCACATATATCTGTAATTTTTATCATTTCCCTAGAATCAATTTTTAGAGGAACTGCATGCCCAAAAGGTATGAGCAATTTCAAAGCGACTGGCATTCATAGTGCACCCTCCACATCTGTGGGTTTTGCATCCACTGACTCAGACAACCTCAGATCCGAAACACTCAGAAAATGAATGAATAAATAATAATACAATGATAGAAAACGATACAAATAAAAACAATACAGTATTGCAACTATTTACATAATGTTAGCATTGTATTAGGTATTATAAGTAATCTAGAGATGATTTAAAGTGTATGGGAGGTTGTGTGTAGATTGTATGTGAACACTACACTATTTTATTTCAGGGACTTGAGTATCTGTGGACTTTGGTATCCGCAGAGGTCTGGGAACCAATGCCTCCCAGGTATTGAGGGACGACCATACTGCCAAGTAGCTTTTCCAGAATGGTTGTTCTGGTTTTAATTCCACCAGAAGGAGAGTGCCAGTCAGTGTGCTTATCTTTGCCCCTCCAACCCCCAACTCCCCCTGAGCTTAAAAACAATACCTTCACCAATATGCAAGGTGGGTACTGCTTGTTCTTTGAGGCTTAGCTTCCCAGATTCATGTGAACCTGGAGAAACAGGCCCAGGGACCGTAGCTCTCCTGGGCTGTCAGCTCAGGTCTCCTGAGAAGGCACTAGGAGGAAAAACCATTCAAATGTGGGAGAAAAAAAATACAATTGCAACAGAGCAATACAGATGGCTTTTTCTGAGCTTTCAAAAAATTTTGTGTTTGTCTTATCCAAATATGACCTTCTCCCAGGCAACAATTGGCCACAATATTACACTCTCATTTTTGACCTAATGCATCAGATCTAGTGCTTTGAAACCCATTCTCACATGCATGAAGTTGATGGTGGCAGAGGAAAGTAAATCAGTTTCTCAGACAGTTGCATTAAGACTTGTTACAGAAGTGGAGCTGCAGCAAATTGAGTCACGGATTCAGCTTGTGTGTTTATTTCTCTACCACAATCAATAGTGTTTGGTCTGCTTAATGTCATACGGATTGTAAACCCCGAGCTTTCCTCTTCCAGGAGGTATATCTTTGGAGAGCCATTTAACTTTAGAGAAAGAGAAAGTTGAAACTTTTTGCTCAAAATTCAATTTGATGTTGGGGAAACACACTTCTTGTGGTTATATTCGAGTGTATCCCCTGGCAGAATTCCCCCCCCTGTGATGACTATAACCACAAACGAGTTTGTTAACACAATCTGTGGGGAATGTTACCAACCCAATGCTGAGCCATTATAGACCAGTGCAGGTCCCCAGAACTGAACGGAAACATGTATTTGGGAAAAATTGAAGGGATTCAGAACACCAACAACAAAGCCAGAAATACATCAAACCCAATTTTAGTCAGAGATTTTTGACCGACTTTATTAAACCAAATTTTACCTTGCATTGTTGGATGCAGTTGCATTTTTAGAAACAGTCCAGAACAGAGAGCAGAATAAATTATCCTAACTCTTGGTTCAATGTCTGGGGCAACTTCATAATGCCTCCTCGCCATCAGCCAGCCTCTGCTCCCTGTACTCCCCACCGGGACATAAATTCCCACCGGCAGCACCTGCTCGTGGCCTGGTGCTGAGAACTGTTTTGCTAACATTGGGTGATTGGGGAATCAACTTTTTCAATCTTTAAAGCATTATTTGACTTTTCTGATTTTCCAGGCTTTCTTATCTTAGTCCATGTTGTCTCAATTCACATAAACAATATCTGAGGGTACTTCAAAAAGTTTGTGGAAAAATAGAATTAAAAGATAACACAATTCTTTCCATGAACTTTTCGAAGACCGCTTGTACATCAGTTGGAATGGAAGAAAGCTCATTCGGGTAATTTTCCTTTAGTTTTGAAGGAATATAAATATTTACTTGAGTCAGCCATTCCATATTTATATACCTTTTTGTTGGTTGGTTTGTTTTTTAATTTCCATTTTCTTAATTTCACTTCTGGTAAAAGAGAATGATAACATTTGAGTTCTAATTTGTTGTCAATGCCACCGTCAAAAAAAAAAAGTGGAAATGAAATTATTTCCAGCAAAGGAAGACTTTAATCTCTTGGAATTAAAAACTTAAAAGTATTAAATGCACTTTGGATCTTTATTAGTTCTTTGGAACCAAAAGAACTAATATTTTGTATTTCAGCAAAATAGTCAATTAAAATTTTGCTCATTAATTACCCAATATTTATTTCTTAATCATAATATCAAACCCATAGGAACAAAAACATGCAAATGGCTCAGAAAAAAATGTTGGTCTCTCTTGGAGAAGAAAAATGTCTCTGAAGGAATCTGTTACTCTGTGTGGCTTTCAGAAGGGAGGTCACACACTTTCTTATTGATTTTATTTCCTATTTGGCAGCAAAATAATGTGAGAAGAGGCAGTAAACATTCCTGGCAACAAGCCCAGATGTTAAAAAAATATGTGTGAGGACATTTTGTGAATTCCATCTTTTTCCCAGAGATTTCATGGCAGACAATCTCTCTGTGCCCTACATCAGGGACACGGCAACACGGATGCTCTTTAGGAGGGAGTTTCCTGCCAGCCCATTACTTACAAACACAGCCAGCTGGATTCCAGATGTGTGCTCAGAATTCCCTAGTGGCCCCACTGCACAGCTGGAGTGGCTTCAGCCAGTGGTTCCCGGGAATCTAGCAGCGAAGCACGAGCAGGCCACAGGTGGAAGCCGCCGTGCTTCTGTCTGGCCTCGTTCTCACAAAGAGATGGGGAAAAGGGTCATTTCATTCTTGTGAGGGTTGATGCAGTGAAGAAGGTATTTGGAAAAAGTGCAGAGTGGTTAACTTGACCTGAAGTAATTTTGAACATCCCCGTTCCTCAGGCAACATCAGGAACACCGAGAAGCTGAGCTACGACAAGCAACGCCAGTATGAGATCCTGGTGACCGCCTACGACTGTGGACAGAAGCCTGCTGCTCAGGACACCCTGGTGCAGGTGGATGTGAAGCCAGTTTGCAAGCCTGGCTGGCAAGGTGGGCCTGACTTTATCAGCTTTCATGTGAAGGCAGCGTGGCTTGGTGTATAGAAGGCACTGGACTTGTCTTCACATCATCACAACACGTAACTGGAAGAATTCTTAAAGTGCAGTCACTTTGCTGCAAGAATAGAGTAGCTTGTTTGTTCTCACAACCCTTATGTTATAGATTACCCCCATTCTATAGCTGGGAAGGTCTAATGTCATGTTCCCAGTTTGTCCAGTGTTCCCTTTCGCAAAACTCATGACATCTTTGAATCAATGGTAATTATCTCACAGCACTCAGGAGAAATTGCCAGCAAGCCTTTTCACTTTGCTCAAGGGTGCTGCGTCTAGCTGATGTGCTTCAAGTTTGGCAGCACCGCTCAACACCTGGGGAAGGTCGTCAGGTCCCCCATGCTCGTGCAGAGCATATACAGGCAGAGGAGGGAGAGCCAGAATCCAGCCTCAGGATTAGGGCATTTCTAACATGTTGGCTCTGGGACTGGAGGAGCAATGGCTTTTGATGGAGGTGGAGTTTTGTGTCAGTTTAGATCTTTTAGGATACAAAGACAGAGCAAATGTCCAGGTTACCTTTAGACCACGGGGCTTATCACTGAGCTAAGGAGGAGCAAGCATGGAAAGGACAGCAAGGACAGCCTGGACGGATCTTACAGAGAGGTGGGTGGCTTGTGGACTATAACGGCTTGGGTGGGGACACCAGTGGGTGTGGTACCAAGCAGCGATCCTAGAGTTATCTCTGTGCCTGGCCACTCCCTGTCTCTGCTTCGTGTGTTGACGATGCCGCAGGCCACTGCTTGCTTGTGACTCATGGTGCTTCATGGAGGCGTCCCTTTTGGCTTCTGCTCACGGCCTTCTCTTGGTGCATTTTTAAGCTTCTGGCCTCATGATATTCTACTCCCTCTCTTTTTTTTTTTTGTATCTTTCATTTTAAAATTCCCCTACAGTCCATGTTAGTCTGTGTTAGTCACTCACATTCCTATCGGTCAGACCGATGTCAGGCCCCCTGGAAGTCCCTGGTCAGACTTTGAATGGCTACCTTTTAGTCAGGTACTGTTCCTAATCCAGTTCATCAGGGGCGGATGGGCACGACCTCATGGTACAAAGCAAGGACACCCATGCAGCAGGAGCTACCTGGGATAGCTCCCTCAGAAGGCATGTCTCACAGTGCTTCTCCTCTGCAGAACTTGAACTCCCTCCAACTTTAAACTAGGAACACGGGGAGGGGGGACTAAACCCACCTCTGCAGACAGTGAGTTGTTTGCCTTTGAACAAAGTAGTGAAGATGAAACGTGCAGTAGAGGAGCCGCAGGTAAGACATGTGTGAGGTAAAGAACAAAATAGAGTCATCTGTGTGCCAGTCTCTTTAGGACCAAGCAAGATACACAGAAAGAAAGACAAGCCAGACTGGGAAACTGTGTTTTCTCATCCTGAGGGAGCCTGAGCTTTGGTTGAATATAATTCACTAGATTCAAGGACCCAGAGGGCAGGATTGTTTCTAGTTCACCCCTGAATTTCTCAGGCTTAGTGTCTGGCCCTAGTTGTAGGTTCTGAAGAAAGAGTCATTGGATGAATGAATGAATGAATGAAAAGCTATCTGAGTAAAGAAGAGCTCACCTTGTTTTATTTTAACTTATAAGGATTATCCCCCTGTGAAGGTCTAGACTTTGAAGAGAAAGCCTGGAAAGAATATATAAGCTCTCTAAGCATAGAATATGCTCCCATTAAGATTTTAAATGGAAAAAGCAAACCATGAATCCATATCTGGAGAACGGTTCCAGTTGTTTTTGTCTTTGACAAATGAGGCACCTACAGATTTGGGACTGCGTGTTTATACCTACATTTAAATGTAATTTCATAACAGGGTTTGTACTCATTCAGTGTAGGCAAATGTAGTGTTAAATGTATGCAAAGAAAAGCCTGGTCATGATGCTTGACTCAGTGTGTGAAGGACGCACTGAGCACCTCCCCTTCAGTGCACAGTGACATCTGCAGCTGCAGAACGTGAGCTGCTGGAGGGCAAGGACAGCGCCCATTTGCTCTGTGTCTCCAGGGCCCAGCACAGGGCTGAGCACGATGCAGGCACTCAGCAAGTGTGGAGCAGAGGAATGAGTGATCAGCACAACCTGAATAAAAAATGCACCTTCCTGTGCAACAAACAGGGAAGCGGCAATTGCCTGCATCAGTTCATCGTGTCAGGCAAAGTGACTTAAGTATGTGTAACATCAGAATTGACAACTTCAGGGTGCTTCCGTGCCTGAGCTGGCACAATTCTGCATCTCTACTCTCCTCCCTCCAGCTCACCCCCATAGACAGCCATTAAGTCCTTCTCCCAGCCATCGCCCCTGAAGCTTTCAGATCACAGACAGGCCCTCCAGCTGCTCTGGTATGTGTATCAGGGTCTCAGCTCCTTCCTGCCATTCCTGTCACAGCCCACAGACCTAGAGAGGAAGCTCACCTTCTTCTTGAACACTGGTCCCTTTATTCCTCCACTTGGGCAGCCCTCACCTCTGGCCCATGCATCGTGGGGCCCGTTCTCTCTGTCACCCCTGGCCAGGGCTGCAGCCTCATAGCTGAAAGTGCACCTTTCTCCAGGGAAGAACTGACCCAGATGTGGGTCAGATGTGTGTCTCTCATCTGGCCCCTCGTCCCAGACTTGCAGAGCAAGCTGGAGTGAGCCATGTTTTATTGGTTGGTTTCTTTGCTTGCCGCAGGGGAAGCCAGCTGCACCTTCCTGTGAGAGGTCGCCAGGTCCTAGGGGAAACGGATGGCTTTTCTTGGAGCGGGTGTGGGGTGAATCCTGCACTTTTGTAGATGGGAGGGGAGCACAGAGAAGGGAAGTTTTTCAGAGGGCTGGTGAAGAATGTGTAAGAAGCACAGCCTGGCTCACAGAAAGGGTGGTGACTGGGGAGAAGTGTGAAGCAGGATTGGAGAGGTCAGGGCGGGGGCAGGGAGGGGCTGAGATTCTGAGGCCAGGGTATGGAGCTGCAGTGAGCCTCAAGCTCCTCACACCCAGCTGGGAAGGATCTGCATGCATGTGCCAGACCTAATTCCCTGGCATTTCCAGGGAGAACAGAGGCCCCTCCCAAACTGACTTCCCAAGCAACATGTGTCACCAAGCAAACGCAGTTTGGCAGTTTAAATTCTTGTACCTGTTCTAAGTAATTTCCCTCCAGGCAGGAGGGGACTGCAGCACAGTAAAAGCAATCCATCATGCACAGGGCCCTCCCGCCTTCCCGAGCTGTCCCAGAAACTCGTCACCCAGCCCTTGCCACAGCCGGCTGCTCCCAGTGAGCTGTCTTGGAGCAAAGGATCCTGCCTTTCCTTCCCAGGGCCCATAGGGACCTGCTACCAGACTCCAGTGGTGCCCCAGAACAGTGGCCCCCATATTCCATCACAATAGCCCCTTTCATGTGCAGGACTTTGGCTTTTCCAGTGTACTGCTGGCCTTGCCCAGCTGTGAAGGGACACCCATACCCTGGCTCTGCAGCCTCCTGCCTTTCATACTCTGGCCCAGGCATTGTCTGCTTGGACTGTGATTTTTCAATTTCAGTCTTTTTCTGTGGGTTGGTCTTGTCTTCTCAGAAGGAACGTGGGCTCCCAGAGGGCAGAACCTCACTTCTCACAGCCCCTGGCGCTGAACTTTCCATCCCTCACCTGAGCATAGACTAAAAGCTTGCTTGCTGGAATTGCTCCCTAATAGGCTGAGCAGGGCTTATCAGGGGTTCTGCTGGCAGCGAGGGAAGGGAAAAAGGCTTTGCATCCAGAAATGACCCCAAGGTGCCAGGTACGTGCATGTTGCTCCTGGGTAAGTTTCATCTTCTCTGCTGTATTCCGAGATTGTAATTTTGAAGAGGTGGTTAGGGTCAGCTCCCTCTGCAGGGGTAGGTGGGACTTGGCTGAAGGGAACACTCCCATTCTCAACTGGCCATGGAAAAAGAGGGGCCTCAAGGCATAAACCAGACCTGTGTGACTGGGAGGGAGAATTACATCTCTGTTTTGTCCTGAGCTTTGAGAACTCATGCGTGCTTAGAGACACCTCTAGTCCATGGAGATGAGAGATTATATCAGGAGACAGGAAAGAGGTGCACCTGCAGCAGCCACATGCTAAAGCAGGAAACCCAGGAGGGTTCCTGTCCTGCTTCTCATTCCAGGTGTCTGGATTTGCAGTCTTCTTAGTGTTTGTTTCCCTCTTGCCATTTGGGCACAATCATCCAAGCCTGGACCTGTTGTGCTCTAAGGACTTGCAGGAGGGTCTGCATCCATTCATGGGTCATACCACTGCAGAAGAGGTGGCGCCCTGGAGGCCATCGGGCGATGGTGCAGTGACAGTAGTGGACGCAGTTGGAGATGTTGCTGAGTCATGCGACCCTGCGGACCCCTCCTTATAGGGGGCACCCAACTGTCCCTTACAGGATCATTTGTAATGCAACTGTTAGTTTGGGGGGGGGTTGTTTGTTTAGCTTTCATTTTATGTTATCTTATTTGGAGAAACACATCCCTTGTTTATGCTTTCCTTTATTTTTCTTTTTAATCCCTTGGCCCACCTCTTTCTGCTTCAAGCTGAAAACATTGTTTTCCGCAACATTTACTGGGTATATTTACCCTTTTATTGTTGAAAGTCACATTTCGTATTTATTACCTGCTTCTGCCAGTCTGGACCCAAAGTTCAGTACTTCATTGTCCCTTTATGCAAAATAATTTCCCTTTAAAGAGAGTCACTGGAGACTTTCCTGGTGGCCTTTCACCATTTCTTCCCCAGACATGTCGCTGATCAGACATTCGGCCAGTCTGGATCCAAGGTTTTCCACAGGGCAGAATCAGCTCTGCAGCCCCGGCAGAACCATCTGTCTGCTCGCCTTGTCCCTAGATCCCCGGCAGCTAAAGACACCTTGCTCGGCAGCAGTTCACCTAGCACTGCCAGTTGGAAGCGTTTCTCCAACAAGCCCAACCAGCTCCTGTTCCTTCTACCTTCACAATAAGTTGTCCTATTTAAAATAAAAGGAAAGGCAGATGCAGCTGCTTTGTTGAACCATTTCCTGTCAATTCTTTGGGTAATTCTCCAGGTGCACCAGATTATCCCAGTGTTTCCACCACTCCACAAACCAGGCCTTCATTAGGAAGGAAGGGCGGTTTCTCAGAGAGTGCTTCTCAATCTGAGTGTGCACAGGAGACAGCTGGGCCTGGTGAAATGTAGATCCTGGGTTTAAAGGCCTGGGGTAGGTCTGGATGCTGCTAGTCCATGAACTTCACTTTGAGTAAGAAGGTCATGCAGAAAATACTGAGTAGACACTTAGAGTGTGTCTAACACATTTGTGTTGAAAAGACAAGAGCACAAAAGCTGCTGATAGAGATTAATTTTCCCTTGGTTATTCACACTGACATTACACAGTAGGAAACATTGTTGGAGTGAATTCACTCACCCTTTACTGAAGGCCCACGGTGTGCTAAAGGCTGGGGGCACAGAGACACATATGACCTACAGGACTCATAGCGTGGAAGGAGGTCATGGCAATACTGAGGACAAAAGCTGTGATGGAGGGAATGACAGGAACATAAAGGAGACATTTAAACTTGCTCCAAGCAGGGGCCCTGGGAGAGATGCCCCTGGAACACATCTGGAAGGATAATAGGCTGTAGCCCCAAGAGCAAGGATGTTCCAGACTAGGGAGCAGGTGTTAAGAAGGTGGGAAGGAGCAAGGCATGGTTGGGACCCAGGGGAAGAAGACTGGACTGGCCGACAGGGACCGGATCATGGAGGGAGGGCCTCCCATGTCCTCCTGAGGGTAAGGGAGCCCCAGAGACTTACATGCCTCTGTGCAGTTAGGTGAGATCTCAGGGAAGAAGAACCCCTTGGACAACCACACACATAAAGGATGGAATGCAGTGACTGGGGCAGGGAGACCAGCCAAAAAGGATAGCTTCTGAGTGCACTTCTGACTGGAGCACGTCCTGAAAAGTAGCCAAACTCATGTATTGATTCCAAAATCAATGTAAAGTACTGAGCAGCAAAGGAGCTTGGATTTACAAACAAATCTCATGAGATCCCATAGGGCAGGGGATAAAGTTGGCAGTCAGGCATGTCTGGGATAGAAGAGACTCTGCTAAGCTTTGTCAAGAGTATGTCCCAGTCCCCTCTGCAGCTGTTCATCTGCCACTACCCCGCCACCAAGGAGAAAAAAGCCCAGGCCCTCGGGGTCAGTTGACTTCACCCTGCCCCTTCTAAAAGTCAGATTAATTATTGACCAAGTAAAGTAAAGAGCTGGCTTAGGTTTTACTGCATGAAAGGCACTGATTTCAAATCACAGAGTGATAAGCCAGGAAGGTATCCAGATTTGCTTAGGGAAACGGAATCACAGAGGACTCAGAAAGCATAGCTGTGTCCATCAGAGGATTGGAAGACGACGTTACCCTGATTTCAGGCTGGTACACAGGGCATTGCCAGAGAATCAGGGTGCAGGAGGTCTCCCGGCCTCAGTTCTCTCCTCCACTGTCTTGTCAGGGTGTCTGAAACTCCACCATTACAGCACCAACCTTTTATTTTAATGGATAATCCCCACTTAAAATGCAAATACCTCGTGCAGGAGTAAAGCATCAAGCCAGGGATCAACAAAGTATAGCCCACAGGCCAAATTTAGTCCACCACCTGTTTTTATACAAACTAACTGCAAGCTAAAAAATCGGTTTTACATTTTAAATTGTTGGAAAAAAAGCAAAAGAAGAGAGTAATATTTCGAGCACGTGAAAATTACATGAAATTCAAGTCTCAGGGCCCATAAATAAAGTTTTATTGGAACATAGCCCCATTCTTCCATTTACATATTGCCTATGGCTGCCCTACAACAGCAGAACTGAGTAATTTTGACAGAGACCACATGGCTCTGAAAGCCTAAATATTTACTATCTGGCTCTTTACCAAAGAAGTTTTCTGACTCCTGCATAAAGCTACTGTCCATTGACACCTTAGTAGGGAGTAGTTTATTGGATTACCTAGCACAGCCTAGAAACAATGGGATATCCAATGGACAAGTTTAGACAGAGGCAAAGGAGTACAAAAATCCAAAGCAAGTTCACTGCACAGAGGACAGGAACGGCTCTGAAAGATGAGCCAT